TTTTGGGACAGCTTTCTGTAGGAAAGGATCCCTGGGTAGCACAAATGGTCAGGTGCTCGGCTACTAACCAACAGGTTGATGGTTCAGATCCACCCAGAGGTGCCTCAGAAGAAAGGCCTGGCCATCTGCTTCTGAAAGGTCACAGCCATTGAAAACCCTGTGGAGTACAGTTCTACTCTGAAATACGTGGAGTGGCCATTGACTTGATGGCAACTGGTTTGGTTTTTTTTTTTTGTTGTTTCCTGTAGGGAAGCCAGACTGGACAAAATTGTATAGCACAGAAGGGGTTAGGGGTTCCTTTCTGCTCACTGATCTTGCTCATAGCTTTGTTTGCTAGCCTCCAGTGATTTTTATTTAATATCACGCTATTTTCATTTTTGTTGCTTTCCAATTTGCAGTGGAGGCTCTGCTGGGAATATCAGTATACTACATACAACTGAGTGGTTTATTTTTTATGTGGGGTGGCCTGCACGGCTTTCTGAGACTTCATGTCAGTTCTTTTCCCCCATTTTATAATCTTGAGAACACAAGGTTTCCCTGGTGTTGAACTTCTTTGTTCATTCAGTAAGTCTCTCTTGAGCCCCTCTGATGTGCTCGCTGGTGGAAGGGAAGCAGTGCCCCAGGCGCATGCAGGCCATGCTGTCGCCAGGCTTTGTGTTCAGTCCTGAGGTCTGCTCTCGGGACTCAAGAGATAATGTCTCTGCAGTCATTATCTCTAAAATGAAACAGAAATCCCCTCTGCCACCTTTCTCATTGTCTATAGGAGTAGCAGGACAGGTGGAGTAGGGCCTACGCATCTTGCTAACCATTTCCCCCAGTCCTTCTGTCTCCTACAATAATAATAGGTTCCTACAGGGTCCCTGTGAGTGGGAATCGACTTGCTGACACCCAACAACAGCAGGTGTTTGCCGGGCGGCTGGCTGTGACAGCAGCCCGCCGTGATGTGAAGGGTTTCCCGTGTGCTGGCAGGAGTCTGCTTTCCCCTCTGATGGTTCTCCTCTCTACCCTTGGCGTTCAGTTATTTGTTCAACAACAAGTGTTTATTGGGTGCTTTCTATGTGCTTGGCTTGGGGGTGGGCATTAGGAGTGCAGTGTTAAACCCTCCTGAAGTTTTACAGACAGGTGGGGCATGGGGTGGGGAGTAGACATTATTAATCAAATGATTGCATTTATAAACAGATTTCTAGACCATGATGAAGTCAATAAAAGAAAGCTACCCTGTGCTAGGAGAGCATCTCTGGTAGACTTGAGCCAGCCTTGGGTGGCAGTGGGGCTCAAGGCAGTCGGAGCTATGCAGTTGGAGTGACTTAATATTTATTATATCTTCACACTAGCTACTACTCGAATAATTTTTGAGCTCTTCGACCATAGGCAAGTTGCTTGACCTCTCTGAACCTCATTTTTCTCCTCTGTAATAATGGAAGTAGCCACTCCACTGGGATTGTGTTAAGGAGTAAATTTTTTTTTTTTCATACACGTAAAGTATCTAGTGCTATTGCTGAAACCCTGGTGGCATAGTGGTTAAGAGCTCGGCTGCTAACCAAAAGGCTGGCAGTTTGAATCTACCAGCTGCTCCTTAGAAACTCTGTGGGGCAGTTCTACTCTGTCCTGCAGGGTGGCTATGAGTCGGAATCGACTCGATAGCAGCGGGTTTGGGTTTAGCACAATTACTGGTTTGTAATTGTTCGATAAAAGGAAGAGGTTGCTCTTTTTTAAAATTTTAACAGTGTTACCTTCATTCTGTTTTTCTCAAACAAACTGTGGTCTTTTCTTCTCTGTGGCCCGAATTTGTTCTTTAACATTTCCATAGATGCTGCTTTAATCTGGACTCTACTTACTCTACCAGACACTTTGGTCTCTGGCCTCCAGGAGTTTATGTTCTGTTATATCTTATTTATTTATTTTTCATACCCTCAGGATCTTTAAGACTCTTTAGGACCCATTAAGAGAGGATGATATGTGGATATTGAATTAAATTCTAAGTTAGCCAGAGGAGTGTGATAGAGAATAACCACCCACCTGGTTAAAGTCAGACACTAGGTGTCCTCCTCCGTGCATCCCGCTCCCTCACTCTGCACCTGCATTTCTCCATCCTGAAAAGATCTCAGCTGTGTCCTCTGGCTCCCTCCTGCGTCCGTCTGGCGCAGAAGCCCCTCTGGGGTGGTGTGGGGTGAAGAGCCCCGACTTCCCAGTGAGCGGATGAGGACTTGGTGACTGTGCGCCCCTTCCCAGATGTATGCCCTTGTCTCTAGGTTTCCTCATCTTCAACACAGAGCTGATAGTACTGATTTTGCTTAGATGTGAGAATTAGCTATAACCAGTATTTAGTGCATGGGCTGTAATAGGCCAAGAAATGGTAGTTTTGGTTTGTAATTTCTGAGAGTCAGAAGTTCCGGGGTGGACCCTCAGGTTGCTTGGATTAACTCTGTGGTGTGTAAGTTGATGGTTCAGATTAAACCCAAGCCATTCCCAGCAGGTGATTCAGATTTCACACTTGCTCACTGCATATGTCCTTTATTCTTGGGATGATGGCAGGAGGCCTCTCCTTGGTAACGGTGGAAGCTGGGCTGTGTCTTGTGCTTTGCCAGTTGACCTGTCAGCTTGCCTCTCCTCTTCTCTCATTTGCGTCCTTATGTTTTCTGGAGCCCCTTTCCTTCTAGCCCTGCCTGAGATCAGAGGTCACACTGGTGGATGATGTGTTTTCACTGGGGCATGTAAGAGGTCACTCGAGCTCAGCCTACTATTAGGAGCCTGATCGCTGAGCCTGGAGACAAAGCCATAGTCAAGGGTAACGTATTAGAAATGAAACAAACTGTCCCCAGGCGTCCCCGGACAGATACGCGTCTCCACCTCCTCCATCCTTGTTCAGCACTTGTTTTCAGAAGTTAGTGAATTCACCAACAAAGCCTCAGCCGTTTCCACAGTTGTGGAGAGTGTTTGATTTTTGCTTGCTTTACAGGATCATACTACTAACAAAATTGCCTATATATTAGGAAAGCTAGACATGATGTGATTACGTGTGCTCAAAGAACAAAGGCACCCGGAGCCCTGCCACGTATTATCTTACTGCTAATGGGGAATGTGTCCACATAGCTCAGTTTTTGAGATGACTTTGACTATCGCTTTGAATGGAAAAAGTAGCTTTGCATTTAAAAAAAGTAGTTAGTAGAGATTGTAAGACTTCTCTGTCCTACTTATTCAGTATGAGTTTATCAGACACATTGGTGTTTGAAGCTAAAAAAAGAAATCCTGCATCTTGGATCCCTCAATATTCCCTAAGCTAATTTTAAAGGATCTAGCTACCCCAAGTACTTGTTTTTATGTAAAATTGCTGTGAAAATGTCAATCTGGAAAAACACTGTACCTAAAAAAAAAAAAAAAATTGAGGTTCCTACAGACATATTTTTTACAGACTTGTTTTTATTGTTAATCGAGGACCCTCCCCCCGCCCCCCCCCCGCCCCGCAAGTCATTTTGGCTTCTTCAAGGTAATTATTTTAACTCTAAGGTCAGAACAGGCTGGAAAAATACCAGTGGCATGATTGTGAAAATCAAAATTATTTGAGAAGCCATCTACAGGCATGATGTGGGCCAGACTTAGTTTGCAGCTCAGTCACTTTTAGAATCTGCTGTCAGTTTAGTAAACAGAAGTCTGCTGGATGCATTGAACCGAAGGGTGAGATTAGCATATTAATAAGGTGCTTCCTAATGGCCCTCGTTTTCTCCTCCCCCCCCCTTCCCTGAATGAATCTAGGAACACAGACCCGTAGGGTCACGTTACTAGCTGGTTGCTTTCTGTTCAGTAGCTTAATCTGGCCAGGATGGTCTGTGTTTCAGATTGCGGAAGCAGGAGAAGATTCTGTAACTGAGAGGCATTCTTCAAGCTGCTGGAAAACATTACAGAAGGAACATCTACCAAATTTTGCCTCACACTCAGAAAAGGAGCACGCAGGGAAGCTGGCTTGGTCTCGCTTGGGGCTTGAGTGCTTTCCAGCGAGTGCCTAGCTTCCCTGCGCAGCGCAGAAGCCAGCACTGTTGGAGTGCCAGTGGGGACTTGTGCGGACTCCTGGCTCGAGCTCTGTAGGACTGGGTGTATGTTGTTGGAACTGGTGGGCCCCGAGGCCCTGGATCCAGCAGGTGCTGTCTGTATGGCGAGAAGCGGCTGTAGTCCATTTCCAATGTGCTGGGCTGAAGGTATAAATAAGTTCAAAATCTGGTTTAAATTTTATTTCAATTCATTCTTTTGCACTAAAATGGTGGGTGGATAAGAGTTTTACAGAATTTATTTCAAGTAGATTTGCAAGTAAATTTGAGGAAAAATGGAAATTGATACGTTATGGGTTTCCAGTTATTCCATAAAACCAAATAGTAAATAAAATATTTTTATGGAAATGCATTTTAAGTAGTAAACAATCTTTTTATGCTCTGGCCTATGTCTCTAAAAGTTTTTATGTTTTATTTTTTCTTTGAATGAAGACATCTATATCCATTCTGTGATGAGAAACTTTTTAAAGAATAGGGAGATGGAGTTTAATTTAAGGAGGACTGTAGGAGGAGAGATTACCATGAATTTTCCTATTTCAAAAATTGGATCTCTTTACCAACTGTAAAGATGGCATATTTAATTTGAAACTCCATAGGATAAGGTAGGCTTATCACTACGGGTCAGGAATACCGTGAATAAACCATTTCCCACTGTAATATTCTTAGGGTTTTTTTATTAAAATAAAAAGTAGCATTTTCACTGTAACATTCAAAACGGTACTTAGGAGGCATGTTTAGAAGTATAAAAATGTCACATAATTCATGGATGAATAAAACCAAATTAATGTAGCTGCTTTGCCTAAAGTAATAGTGAATATTGAACTTAGAAGATAAAGTCCTTCAGGAAAAATTTAATGAAAAGATTTATTTTTATTGTTTAAAATTTGTTGAAATACCACGTTAATCCACTTGAGGGTTTGTTAAAGGAGGAGACAGCACTGAGTGAAGAGCTGTTGGTAGTGTAAGTAGACCTCCAGACTGATTAGATTTACTTTCTAGGTTAAAATTTTAGCATTGTCTGGACATTGGCGTGTTAACACTTAACTGTAGTCTCACCGTGAGATTTGTTTTCATTTGCCAAGTTGTCAGCATCATCTGTTAATTCTTTTTAGGCCCTTAAGCATTTGTAAAACGTGATATATCAGGACTGTTTTCTTACAATGGAATCTGAATAAAACACCTGTCACTTTATTACATAATTAGATATTCAGAGTAAAGATTTTACGGAGCTAAATTCTAGTTCTGGAATTTTGAAGGGCAGTGGGTATGTTTTTGTTTGTTTCAGGTCGCAGTTCCACGTCCTCAGTACTGTGTAACGTAGCTCAGCGGGACCAGTAGTGAATGTTCAGCCACTGAGAGTTCTGTGCTTGTTGAAAGCGTTGGCCTTTTTGTAGACTTTTGCGGGTCATTTGCATAATGCCCCTCCATTGTGCAATAGCTTTCTGTTAGCACTGGTCATTAGCATAAGGCACTCGGCTTCCCCTCCCATAGCCTAGGCTAGATCCAAGGTCTGCACATCCAGCACCAGCGGGATATTCAGCCATCAGTTACTAAATTTTTTATTTTAAATTCAGAGTGACTTTAGATATGTAAACTTCCAAGAAAAGAGAGACTGTAGTGTTTTTGCTCATCGCAGAATGATTGCCTGCAGCAGCTTATTGTGTTAGCTGGCTGTCAGACAAACGGGTAGAGCCATTTCACTTGAAACCTGCGGTATCATGGCTGCCGGGCTGGGTGAGAGAGCACAGCTCACGTGTGCAAAAGAGGGAAAAGGGTCAGAACCCTTTTATTTGTAGTAGGGCTGGAGCAGTTCATCTCCTTGGATGAATGGTCCTGCACTGGGTCCTGACAACACTCACTGAGGAGTTTGTCATCCTGTCCCTGTCTGGGGCTGAGCACCTCACTCCCACATGGTCACGAAGCGGGCAGAGATCCCGGTAAACTTCCTTCCCGCCTTCTCATTTTATGCTCTTGCTCTGGGACGGGAGGGCAGGAAACCTTATGTTTTTATGCTGGGTTAATTTTTGTACGATAAGGACAAAGATGGTGGTGTGTAGAAATCAGCTTCGTTGGTTGTTTTCAAGCATGAAAGTTACAGCTTAGAGAGTGAAAAGCTCAAATCCAAAGACTGTAGGAATCCCTGTTTGCACTTAGCTATTCTAAACCTCCCATTCGATCTTATCAGTCACATTGACCTGAGAGACCATGAGCAGTGGCCCAGTTTAAGGAGAGATTTAAAATACTCCTCAGAACAGGCTAAAAATAATATACCAGAAACCACCACAAGTTGGAATCGACTCTGCGGCAGTGGGTTGTATTTGTATACCTTGGATCAAAACCTTTATGGCATCTTTGAAGTGCTCTGGGGTCTTTCCTGTAACAAAGCCTGTTGTACTGTTAACTTTAGCAGAAAGAATCTACCTTAGGTCTTACCCAAGGAAGATTCTATTTAAAGTATTTAAAAGGACTTCCTTTTATGACATTGTGTTCAACTGTATCCTGACTGTCTGGGCTTAAAGACGGTTTTAATGGAGAGTATTGAATGAAATGTAAGTGCTCACAGCACCGTGTGAGGTGGCAGGTTGTTGAAAGCCCTGCTGGGCAGGTTCTCTGATTTCGTCATTGTGTGCATTCTTTGTTTTACCTTTTTCCACGGCTGGGAAGGATTAAAGAGCTCTCGGAGATTGGTGGTTTGGGGTAAGTGTGTTGGTTGATTTCTTCTATGTCTTTTAGTAGTTGATTGAAATTGATGTCCTACTGATAGTTCGTTCGTGTGATTCTGGATCCTGTGGAAACTCACTCTCTGTGTGTGTACACACACACACAGTGTACAGTCCGTCTTCTCTTCCGTGTCTCAGACTCCAGTGGTCAGTTACCTCCTGATATCTACGTTTGTGGTTTTTGTAAGCATCTGATACTTAACCTTGCCAGAGAAGAGCCACCTAATTCTGCTCCTGAAATGTGTTCCAGTCTTCCTGTCTTCATCATCATACTGTACCCTGTCCACTCAATTGTTCATGCCAGAAGCCCAGGACATCTTGTTGATGCCTCCTTCCACGTATATAACGAATCCATCTTTTACTCCTGATAATTGTACCTCCACAACACATCTTCAGTTCCTCAGATTCTCTCTCTCCGTTGCATCCCCTCTGGCCCATGTTACCCTCAGCTCTGTCTGGGCTACGGCAGGAGCCCCCCGTCTGGTCTCCTGCTTCTACACACGGTCATCCTTCACACAACAGCCAGACTGATTTTGTAAAAAGTCTCATGTCATTCTCCTCCTTATAACTCCTCGGGGGCTTCTCATTAGACTTGGATAAAATCCAGAACCCTCATCCGGCCTGCTGGCCCTCTGGCTCCTCCTCCCCAGCCTCCACCTTGTCCTCTTGCTCATTAATGTCCACTGTGGTGTCTCAGTGCCTTAAACACCTTAAGCCCTTAACTAGCAGCCTTCTGTACCTGCTGCTGCTGCTTCCTGGAACCACCTTCTTCATTCTCCGCCTCCCCGACTCCTGCTTAACTCTCACTTGAGTGGTCTCTCCTCCCTCTCCGTCTAGACCAGTGACCTCCTCTTGGCCCCCTCATGACCTTCTCTTCTGGTCTTGCACAGCATTTACTTTGTAAATCTATTTTATTTGCTTGATTTCTGCCTTCTATACTAGACTGTAAAATTGTCACGGCCACTGATTGTGTCAGGTGTTTTCTGCTTGGCAAGTAGTTGGCACAAATGGATATTACTTGAATGAATGAAATTACATAGGGTTAGTTTTGATTATTTTAAAGACTCCTCCAGAGCTAAAATCCTGGGATTAATATATATTGCTTTGTAAGCAAATCTAATTTTGAAATCACTGAACTGTCAGAACAAAAGCATTGATGTCACGCGTTTGTCCATTCTGATTTCATTGTGTTTGTAGGTTTTGTGTGTTGCTTTTCCTCTTAGGATAGAAGTATATCCCTAAAGTTTAGCAGAGCACACTACCTGTTGTGGGTGGTTTATAAATGCGTGAACATTCATGATGCTGCTTTGGTCTGGAGGTATTGGCAGTCCCCAAAGAGTAGTTGGAGTATTTCACTAATTATTCTCCATGGTGTTTTTGTGCTTTACCTCAAATGATGGTCTTTTTAAAGAGAGCTATGGTTTTTATAATAACAGTGAAAATTTATTCACATGCTACAAAATTCATTCACTGTTGAAAGCATTACACATACTCATAAACACATTCATATTATCCCCTTTAATTCTCACAAAACCCCTCTGAGATAGGAATTATCATTATCCCCTCTTTACAGATGAGAAAATTGAGGCACTTTGAGAATAAGTAATTTGACAGTGGTTGCTCAGCTAATAAAAGGCAAAACAGGTTCTGAACAGTGTGATTCTGACTCCATTGACTGTGTTCTTCATCACTGAGCTACACAACCAAATGGAAAAATGGTATGGCCATAACGGAATTGTTTGTTTCTCATGGTATTTGCATGTTGATACATTATAAGAACTATGGCTTCTGATTGCAGAATTTTTCTTGGAGTACTATTCCTTCATTCAGTAAATATTTATTGAGTGCCTAGTATGTGCCAGGCACAGTGTTGATACTTAGGATATTCCAGTGAGCAGAAGACAAAGATGCCTACCCCTCATGGAGTCAGTCTTCTAGTGATGGGAAACAGTGTATAAGAGTGATAAGCAAGTAAATTGATCAGTACGGTAGAAGGTGCTGATGCCCTGGCGGGATGAGGTCAGAGGGCAGTCTTCAGTAGTACCGTCTAGGTAGGGTGCATTGTGAAGGTGCAGTTTATCCAAGGCTTGAAGGAAATGAGGGAGTCAGCCCAGTGGATCTCTGAGGGAAAGAGGTTCCAGGCAGAGCATACAGGGAGAGAGAGCAAAGGCTGTTGTGGAGAGAAGGCCAATGTGGCTGCAGCAGTGAATAAGGGGTTATGATATCATCTTAGCTGGGTTCTCTAGAGAAGAAAAATCAGTGAAGAGTATATACATACATACATACATATATATATATATAGAGAGAGAGAGATTTATATCAAGGAAATGGCTCATGAGGTTGTAGAGGCTGGAAAGTCCCAAGTCTTAGGGTCAGGCTGGAGGCTTCTCCTGACTTACGTAGCTGCAGGGGCTGGTGAACCCAAGGTCGGCAGGTCAGACAACAGGCCTCTGGATCACAGGCTGTGTAGGCTGACAGATCTCAAGATAAGCAGGTAAGGTGGCACAGTGCTGGCTCACAGACTGCAGAGGCCGACATATCCCAAGATCGGCAGGTAGGCTGGCAGGCTGTTGGCTCACATATTGTGGAAGCTGATGAATTCCAAGATTGGCAGGTAAGCTAGCAGGCTGTTGGCTCACAGGCTACAGAGGCTGACGAATTCCAAGATCAGCAGGTAAGCTGCTACCTCAAGTCCCAAGAACTGAAGGTCACATGAGCAGGAGCCAGCTGCAGGATCCTGAGCAAGCAAAAGCCCACGAGCCTTACCAGAAAGTCTACCTTAGGCCACACCCCTAAGGAAACTCCCTTTCAACTGATTGGCTGCTCACAGCAGATGCCATCATGGAGGTGATCACAGTGTATAAGATCTCATCATGGAGGTGATTCCATCATTATATGACTCCCAGATTACATCATAACTGCCAAACCACTGAGAATCATGGCCCAGCCAAGTTGACACACAACCTTAACGATGACGGGTATCTTCACTGTTCCTCATTCTTTCTTGCTTACCAATTTGTCCTTTCTTAGGGAGCAGAGGCATAGGATGAAAGGAAGACCCACTAGAAAAACCTTCCTAATGGCAAACAAGCAGGGGGCCAATCGGAGTCATGGTGGCACAGTGTTTAAGTGTTTGGCTGCTAACCAAAAGTTGGCAGTTTGAATCCACCAGCCGCTTCTTGGGCATCCTGTGGGGCAGCTCTCTTCTGTCCTATAGTGTTGCTATGAGTTGGAATTGACTTCATGGCAGTGGGTTTTTATGAGTTTTTAGGAGGCCAATTTGCAGATCAGTTCTAACCCACAGGCTTTACCAACAACTCAGTGAAAGGAAGTGAATTGGTCTGAGTTTTCTCCTGTAGCAACATGGGTACTACATTCTAGGTCTCTTGGCAGATGGATCTTGGTGGGGCCTGTCAGGGCCTGGAAGCTTCTCTGGGAATTGCCTTATTGGTCTTCAGCTACTACTGTGGGCTCGTGGCCGCTGGTTCTACCAGTCTTAGGAGCTGAATGACTAGTGGGAGACAGATTTTTAAAAAAATGCGTATCTAATATATTTGTAGACATAGAAATGTAATATGTGATACATTTATATTTTTACATGCAAATACATTAAAAAGTGTTAAATGCTCAGATGAGGAAGTAAGTTGTATGAGTTCCCAGGCCCAGGAACAGCTCACAGTGCCTGGCACACAGTAGGACTCAGTAGACGCTGACCTGAGTTCCAGTCCCTTCTCTGCCTACCCTCAAGCCGGAGTGATGTTCTGAAAAACCTTGTCCGCCTCTCCACGTGTGTCTCCCTCTGGGCACCTCCTCTTGTTGTGCCCTCCAGCCCCGTTTTCTGAAAGGCCCTGCTGCTTCATGCCTCCTGTTGCCCCTTATACCTCACTGCTCCTTCCGCTTGGGATACACCTTTCCTTCTTCCTGTGCCTTAGGCCGTCGTCGACGCTCCTTCTACTCTCTCACCTGTACTGCAGAGCTGAGCCCTGGCTCCTCTGTGCCCCATCTGGGCCCTGCACACACAAGCACGGCTAACAGTTGCAGCTGCACTCCAAGGCGTGGGAGAGAAGCATATGAGCTACTTGGTTGCAGACTTCTTGAGGGCCAGGTGCAGGTCTTAACACCTTTTGAATCCGTACTGTCTGACGTTATTGGCGCTCAATAAGTGCTTGTTGAATGAAAAAGCAAACTTAACTGGTGGAGTCTGGGACACATTTCTAAAGGAGGTGATATTTGAATTGATTGAGGCAGAGAAGAGGGTAGGAACAGTAGTCCATACTGTGAGAATCCTCTGTGCAAAGGCACTGAGAAGTGAAGTGGCTTGGAGTGTTCAGGAAAACACAGGCTTTTCCTCTGATTAGAGTTTGAATTGCATTAGTTACATAGGGTACTTGGAGGGGAGTGAGTAGGCAAGGGTGGGGATGGGCTCCTCAGGAGGTGGTCCCAGGCCTTGTCTGCTCCTAGCACACTCATTTCACACTCCTCTCCCTAGGCAGCCTTGTCCGCCTTTGTGGCTTCGCACGTGTGGTCTACCTCTGGAGCCTCATTGCAGGCTGTTCTGCCCTGCACTCTTTGTTAGCCACAAGGGTCTTCTGTCAGTACCTTGAACCCTGGGCTTGGAGGCTTTGTCACATGGTGAATGTTCTTCTACCTGTGACACTACCCATCTCCTTCCCCTCCCAGTTTCTCTCATAGTCCCCTGTGAGCCCCTAGCCATTCTAGTGTAGGTGCCTTGGTGATTTTATCTCATAGCACCTGAACTTTTCCTTTGTTAAACTTCTCACTTCCTGATTTACTGATTGTGGGTAAATCTTAGTGTTGCGTGTTTGTATCCCCAGTATCCCCTGCGCGTAGCAGGGTATTGAATGAATGAGTTTATGATACATCTTTGTAGTGTTAAAAGGCAAAGATGTCACTTTAAGGACTAAGGTGTGCCTGACCCAAGCCATGGTATTTTGAATCGCCTCATGTATGCGAAAG